ATGCCCTTAGGGCTTATAGGGCTTCGGGTTTAGGGTTCAAGGATAGATATGGTCAGAGCCCTGTAGCCGGTGGCTCCTCTGGAAGCAGCGCCGCTGGAAGCAGGCCTTCGTGTTTTACAGAGCCGTCAACGAATCTGCAAGTCCGTTTCACCAGTCGATGTTTATGGCCTCATATGGCCTCTGTGGGGTGTCAGCATGTATCAGCAAACGCTTCAGGGCTTACGGAACACGTCTGAAAGACATCCGCTGGAACCCAGGCCCAGGACCTCAAGCGCTTCGAAGGCTCGCAACAGCCCTTCTCTGAGCTCTGAGGGCCCCTTCCGCTTAGGGTTTAGGGCTTGGGGTTTAGGGGTTTAGGGTTTAGGGTTTAGGGTTTAGGGTTTAGGGTTTAGGGTTTAGGGTTTAGGGTTTAGGGGAGTGTCCGTAAAGCCTGAACCCTCAGCCGCTGCAGATCCTAAAAGACTCCCAAACGGTCAGCCCGAAGCGGTTGTGGCAAATCCGCCTCTGAAGCACTTGTCGGCGCCAGGCGACGGGGAGGTCAGCCGGATTCCTGTCTCTTGCATCTAAAGGAAGTTTGAATTAGAAGAGACTCTTGGGGATATGGATCCCCTCAATAAGATCCCTTTTTAAGAGAGCCAAAAGTAAGGTTAATGAAGGGTCCCCTTGAAGGGGTCTCCCTAATACGACCTAGGATTCTCGAGTTGAGGCTTTAGGGGCCGGAGTTTCCGGTCAGAGCTTCTTTAGCCCAGACTCTGCACCCTAAACCCTAAACCGTCAACCCTATACCCTAAACCGTAAACCCTAAACCCTAATTAGTAAACCCTAAACCCTAAACCCTAAACCCATTCCGGTTCAGGGTTTAGGGTTTAGGGCTTCGGACTTGAAGGTTGGGGATCGGGGTGGTGGGAATGGGAGCATGGGGTTTGAGAGCCCATGAACTGAGAGACGAAGCCTGGGGATCGAATCTACAGGGGTTTAGGGTTTAGGGTTTAGGGTTTAGGGTTTAGGGTTAGGGTTTAGGGTTTAGGGCTTAGGGCTTAGGGTTTAGGGTTTAGGGTTTAGGGTTTAGGGTTTAGGATTCTAGATTCCTGCATGGTTCCTGGTTGTAATACGTTTCGGACTCAAGTATTGAATCAGGCCGGGGCCTTTTCCGACAAGCACAAACCCTATGAAACTTCAACCCTGCAACCTTCAGGGTTGATCTAGATCCCTACAGGTTCCTGAATGACCCCTTAATAATAAGGGTGCCCTTTTCCTGTTGTTCAGGTTTCACAAGGGAACCACACAATAAAAAGGGCAAAAGGGTATTTCTCACAAACCTAATTTATAACCCAATCCCCTGTCACGAGCTCCGCGGGTCCCTCGAGGCTTCGTGAGCTCTCCGCGGAGCAGAGCGGCGCCCTGCATAAAAACAAGCGCTTTGGGGTGTAGGGCTTGGGGTCCCATGATAGCAGACAACGAGAGCAGCAGGATCGCAGGAGTAACTGCGACGGCGGCGACGACAACTATGACGACTGCTTGAAAGCTTCTAATACTGGTACTGCGGCTCTTCGACTATGACGACTACTACTACACCTACTACCACGATTCTGCCACGACCAGCAGCACGCCCACCGCCGCCGCAGCCACCACCACCACCACCACCACCACCACAACAACAACAACAACAACAACAACAACAACCAGCACAACAACACAACTGATCGGTCTTTGAGCAAAGAAGTTTGCTCTTGTATTTGTGGTTAGTGGGCTGTGGATTGAGGTTACGGTCTAGTCGAGTGTCCAGGATTACGTTTGGGCTTTTGGTTCTACCCGCAAGCAAACTCCAAAAAATGAAAACCGCAGACCCCCAGACGTCGCCTTCAGAGGAGCCCTGGCCGAACTCATCAAAGCGCGCTGAGGTTCGGGACACCCCGCCACCCCCCCCCCG